ACGGTGACCAAATCGGAGTTTCCTCCAAAGTTGTGAATGTGCTCCTTGACCCACCTCAGGGCCTGTATCTGGTCTAGCAGGCCAAAGTTCCCTGACACATGCTCATCTCCAGTGCTAGATAAAACACAGTGAAGTTTCTCTGTCATGTCGCACCAATCAGATCAAAGCATGCTACTGAATCCTGTTGAAATGAGTAATTCAGCTACCTAAGAAAGCCCAGGAGTCCCAGTCGGTACTGAATTACAACCACAACCACATCTTGGTAGGCAGCCAGGGCAGAGCCATCATACACTGAAGCAGACCCACAAACAAATCCACCACCATGGATCCAGACCATGACCTAGAACATAAGGAGAGACCACTCAAGATTTTAAAAAAAATCAACTGTCGTATAAAACAAAACTATCTGGGACACTTTAGAGGACATTGGGTTTGAAATTAGAGCATTGCTGAAGTACGATGAACACAATCGCACACAAACGTGGAACAGAGGCCTCTTACTGGAAGCTTGGCATCGGGACGTCTGTTAGCAGGAGTGTAAATGTTGAGGTAGAGACAGTCTTCTGAAATGTCCGGTATCTCTGCCAACATGCCATCAAGTTTCCTGAGTAGTTCCTGGATGATCTCGACATTCTGGATGCACCTGGAAATGAGGCCTCGCAGTCAGTAACAACAAACCGGAGCCCCCTGAACGCGGTGCAAGACAAACTGAGCACGCTCGGCCTCACATGGGTGGCTGTTTGGTGGCGTCTCTCACTCCTTCCCATCCCTCTGCGGGCTGAGGTCCAGCGAGCCTCAGAGAGGGGCCGATGGGGGGCTTGGCAAAGGGTACACCCAGGTAGGCATGGACACCGCTGTCCCTCCCCTTTACGCTCACATACTCGCCACTCAGGCTACCGAGCTTAGTGTGGACCACTGGTGCTGTTGTGGTACAAAAATCAAAATGTAACATTTTAAAATTGTCCTTTTTCATCTTATGTCCCAAATCTCTCAAATATTTAATAAAACAAAAACGGAATTCTTCTCTGAAAGTGAAACATTCATTTGTTGGTAACATTTGGTGCAAATGCCGAGAACTGGTCTAACCATGAAAATACACTTTATAATGTTTACAGTTGTTATCACAAGCACACATGAGGGCTCAAAGTTGAAGTCATAGCTCAGTTTGTCAAATCAAAAATAAAATCAGCAATGTAAGTCATCTAAAAGGGGATTTATGTTTGATTTAAATGGTAAAAAGATGTCAGCTTTGACTGGTATATGGTGTCTTAAACGTGGTCAAACGCTCAACATGTTGACTGGAACACCTGGTTCCAATCATTTGACAAGACAGGATAGGATATTTAAATCAGAACAAAATTGTTCTGGCAAAGATTACTTGTGTTGACCTGATGTCCCGTTGAACCTGTCTAAGTGATATCAATGTAACGGGTAATGTCAATTACCCGTGACATTGATAAAGAAATGCTTAATCAAAGTTCAACACACGTTCAGTTTTATCTAAAACAGATATCAAAATGCAAATCGCTACTTTGATTATAGCAGGGTCGGATGTGCCTCTTTTTTTTATACTCATTGCGGACCTAAATGGAGCACCATGTTTACATAATAACTT